TATGTCGCTGAGAGGTTTTTTTCTCACGTCAACCAACTCTCCAGTTCTCTGGGATTGCCAACCGCATGTCCAACAATTCAACTCAATTCTGACACTGTCTACCTGGAGTGAGATCCCACAAGTTAAGGGCTCAGTGCCACAAGGCTGCCCCCCACTTCAGACGCCAGTTGCAAGTCCTGGGCCACCTGCACTTCTGACCGACCAGCTATAAATTGGGGGTTCCCACCGTGCCCTCCACAGGTTTGATAATTCGCTAGAACTACTCACAGAACTCGGGAAAGTGCTTTACTTAGAATCAATCACCTCATTAGCATACAAAAGACACTCATCATTCAGGAGATTCCAAGGGTTTTGGGAGCTGTGTGCTAGGAACTGGGGACAAAGACAAAATATTTACTTTTTTTTATACCACAGTTGCCCTCTACTCAGAAACCTCCAGTGACTCCCCACAAAAACAGAGAAGAGCCCAAACTTTTCAGGGTGGCCTTTAAGCCGTACACAACCTCATCTCCCATGATTCCTGCCACCTCACTCTGGTCCAGGCTGGCCCATCTTAAAGATTCCTGCCTCTGCACCTTTGCCCCATCCTCCTGCCCCTTCACTGAATTGAAACATTTCACTGAATCGAAATTGAATCAAAACATTTCTTAGGACAGCATTTGTTTAGGGATGTGAGGAACCTCAGAGATGAGCTGGTTCAAACCTCCTGTTTTACAGATGAGGAACTGGTGACCCAGAGAGGTGAATGGCACAGATTATAGATTTATTATCTCTCAGAAGGCAGAGAGAACAACGTCAATCTCTGAATTTCCGTGAGGAGTGCTGGGGAGGAGAAGCTTCAAATTAATAAACTCTTATGTCTACTTTCAAAAGCACAAACCACAAGGCAAAAAAAAAAAGATTAATTTGATTATACAAAAATGAAGGATTTCTGTTCAATGAAAGACACTATGGACAAAGTTAATAAACATAACATAATCAGAAGATATTTGCATTATCTAAAATCGATTACAGATCGATACCTAGAACTCCTGAAAATCAAGAAAAATAGAGCAAACCCAATTTTAATAAAAGAGCAAAGAATGGGAACATGCAGTTCGGGAAGAGGAAACCCAAAAAGTTAACAAAAGTATCAAACTCACTAGTTACTAGAAAAATCCAAGATCAAACAACCAGATGTCATTGTGCACCTACTGGCAAGCTGGACAATGCTGCAAGGCATGGGGAAGGACACAGGGGTTCACACTGCGTGGGGGAGTGCAGGAGCGAAGAGGCTCCAGTCACTCAGGAAAGCAACCGGGCAGTCCTTGTCACAGTAAGTGCCCGCATCCCTGTGACCAGCAGTTCTGCCCCTGGGGATGGATCGCAAAGACACCCTCACAGGTGGGACCTGCAGGGGGCTGTTCGGGGCAGAACAGCCATGGAATTGCAGCATAATCTGTGCAACCCCCAAACCCACCCCAGGGGGAGCAGATGGTCAAGTCTGCGGAGACCTCCGTGGAGCACGGTGCACAGTAGACATGCATGGCTGACACAGAGCGCCATGGACAAATTGTAAAAACACCAGTTTAGGATGAAAGTAAGACTCAGAATGAGCTGAGTGACAGGCGGTGTTACATAATTTAAACATACAGGCCCTAAAACAATAATAAAGTTTCTGCAGTACACACAGAAACAAAACATCAACATCACACACGTTAGCACTGTTGCCTGTGTGGGAGGTGGGGAATGTCCACAAAAGAGGACCTGACTAATGGGCACTGGGGGGGTTCAAGGCAGCGACCACGGTCCCTACCCCGGGCCCCAGCTCAGGCATCTGGGAGCTGTTTGCTAAGGCTAAGGCTGCGGACTTTTGGACAGAAAGTGGGCTCAGGGGCCAGGGCCTCACAAGCAGGCCTAGGGGACAGAGGGCCCCTTCTCTACCAAAGCTGTCTTCCTCACAGCCCACATCGATGGCGAGAATCCCACCTCTGGAGATGAATCCCCTTTGATTCTGTGCTTTGGGGGGATTTCCTAAGTCCACTCAATGAGTTAACATTAAGAATAGTTTCGGCAATGAGGCTGAGCAGTCAGAATCAGATAAACCGACAGCCGCAAAACCCTTCCTCACAACCTTTTCTTTTTCTTTGGCAGGGCACTCGGAACTAACCTTTACTGAGCACTTGCTACGAGCCAGCAGGGTGCTAGGGAATTTTACATTTACCTCATATATTGCTCACAAAAATCCTACACGGTGCGGTCGGGGTGATCCCTCCTGTTTCACAATTAGGGAACAGGAGGCTCAGAGAAAGGAACCTGGCCAGGCTCACACGTGACGGCATCCATGCTGTCTTCCTCGTGCATCGGGGGACACTCACTAGACAGCTACACCAGCTGTATTTTGACATCCTCCCTCCAGAGTTTTCTGCCCTACAGCTGGGTCCAAGGGGTCTCCAGGCTTGCCCTGGGTCTCCAGAGCTCTCAGAACTCCTCCAGCAGCTCCCTGGGACATGCAGAGCTAGAAAGTCTACACCTCCTCAGAGGCTCTTGCTGTAGGGACTCCTGGAGTTAAGCTAGATTCTAGTAGCTTCCTCTTTGCCCTCCACACCCTCGAGCCCTTAGAGGTGGCTCCTCTAACCAGGTCCAGTTTCTAGAGAACTGGAGATGCCCCTCCACATCTGTTGTCCACCGTGATGTGACTCTCCAGTTTCCTGGGATTCAGGATGTGGTGGGTGGATGGGAGTGGTGGGGGAAGCTTTATAGCAGAACAGCAATCAATTTCCAGACAGGAGTCTAATATAAGCAAAATGACAGTGAACAATCTCTGTAAAACCGGAAGAGGGCAGAGCTCTAGCACATGCTAAAGCATTACAAGCACGATGATTTCATGCAGGTCAAATCATGTTTGTGAAACCCCAGAACTGCAGAGTAAGTCCTGGAGAGATGCTATCAGGAGCATGGCCATCAGCCTTACCATCGGCTCTCCGCCCTCTCTTTACTCCCTGCCCGCATTATATAAGTAGCCGATTTTTTCTCAGGCCTCAGTCCAATTATCTTAAGGAAAATTTAAAAGAATGCAATTCCATCCAACAAAAAGTCTCCTAAACATTCCTGGTGGTGATGGGCTCTAACTTGCAGCAGATTGCTCCAGCCTCCCCTGGAGTCCTGTCATAAACACTCGAGACGATGATTAAACGCCATGAGCTCAATATGAATTAAAGAAGAAAACATCATTATTAGGGAAAACTAGGAATTCTCCATATTTTTTTCACCAAAAGTTTACACAACTGTGGATAAAAGGACGTCACAAAAAGAAAAGTTTACAAAGTTGTGGGGTACATGTAAAATCAAAACAAACTCATGTAATGTTTATTCTACTGTTCTGGGAAGAAACAGAGAAGTAGGCTAGTAACAATTCAATAAATATTTATTCTGTCGTTTCCACGTGCAAAACATCAGGCAGGTGGAGCTGTGGAGACGCCAATGCTAAGAGCCCACACAGAGTTCTTGAGACCCACGGTCCTTCTGTGGAGTCCAGGTGCTAGGGAGCCCTGCGGATGAACTCTGGGGTTTAGGGATCTGTCTGAATTGCTGCAGCTTCCAGCAGTCCTGATAACCTTAACACCAACAATCTGAAGGCAGAGGAGCTCTCTGCCCCTCTCCAATCTCTCTAAAATGAGCCTTCTTGTTGGGGAAAAAAACCAAACAACTCTGCTCTCTCATCATCTTTTCCTGTCCTCCTTTCTTCAAATTTCCTGGGGAAAAAAATACAGCATTGTGCTTTGCTGATGTACTCTCTTCCCATAACCAGTGCATTGTTGGCCCTCTGCATCCTGGCCTGGACCACATCTTTCCTTCCCTTCCACCCACGTGGACTACCCTGATTTCCCTGGACGGCTGCTCTGTTCTTCCTCCTCTAAAGCTCTTAGAATTTCTTGTCCCTAGTTTCTCTACAAAATCCCTTTACACTAGGATTTTACACAGGGTTAAACTTGGGTGGTGGTTTGCTTAAAAAAGCAAACAAACCATATATACGTTGTGGTCATACTTATTACTGTGTAATGCCTCTTTGCTCCTTTATTAGCATTTAGTGCAACAAATAGGGCATCACCTTTAACAGAGCATTTGGAAGCTTGCAGTTAAACTCTTGCACATGTTTTAAGAGCCTCTCAACTCTTAAATTGGACTCTCCTCCTAAATCTCTGCTGCCAAATTGATTTTATTGAAATCCTTTGAAACTCCAGTGTTTCAGCATTTTGGTCCTCTCTGGAAGTTTCTTTTTTTAAACCTATACAGTAGTGTCTGGTAATAACAAGAACTCACATTTATAGAGGCCATACTATGTGCCAGGCAACGCTCTGAGTTAGATACAATTATTATCCCCACTTTACAGAGGCTGGAACTGAGGCAGAGAGAGAGGAAATAACTTGCACACAGAAGGTAGCTGAGCCTCCAGTCTAGCCCAAGGCTCTGAGCTCATTAAGCATGCTCCAGCTCCGGGGTCAAACGGATCTGGAGTCCATTCTTATCTTTGGGAGCTGGTGACCTGGATAATGTTCTCAACCTCTTTGACCCTTGGGAGCTGGTAACCTGGATAATGTACTCAACCTCTTTGACCCGGAGTTTCCCTTCCCATAAACTCGAGATAAAGCATTCTTCTAAAAATGGAGCAGTAAATGAGAGAGAGACGTAACAGGTCTACTTCGGTCCTTGGCACTGGATAACTGCCAGTGCTCCCACGCACCCCAACTGAAGCTGGGTCCCACTTCTCTAAATACCCCATCTCATAGTAGGGGCCCCACAACATCAGTCCGTTTAAGACAAACCATCCAAGGGGCTTCTATGTCTGCACGCCCTGGCACACTGGCTGGAGTTTTGCTTCCCCCCGACATGGCTGTGCGCCCGGGTCCCAGGCTTGCCACCCCACGCCATGCCATCGACCGCTCCTCCACCCGGCTTCTCTCTCGGTTCGGGACTCTTACCCCGGGGGCTCCCGAGCCTCCCGACAGGCGCCGTCTTACCATGGCATCGTAGTGCAGGGCGTTCATGAAGTGCGCCACCTCTGCGCCCTTGTACACGGTGAACCAGATGGTGCCCTGGTACTGGTCGCCAGCGTCGAGCAGCAGCACGTTGGGCTCGGCTCGGCGGATCTGCTGCACCTTGGTGAAGAGCCGCGCCACGCCGCCCACGCAGCGGCTGGCGTTGACGCACTTGCCCGAGTCCTCGCTGGTCTGCTCCAGCCGGCTGTGCACGTCGTTGGTGTGCAGGATGGTGAGCTCCCAGGCGCCGGCCGCCGGCCACAGCAGCGCGCCCAGCGCGAGGAGCCGCAGCGCCGGCGCTCGGGCGGCTTGGGGACACATGGCGGCGCCGCGTGGAGTGGGCGCGAGTG